CTTCATGTTCCTTCTCGCAATGTTAGGGATTCCTCAAAGTTTGGTGTTCGTTCCTCTAATAAACACTGACTTGCTGTTCGGTGCGCCTGTGCTGCAAAGGCGGTGGGTAAAGATCTCGACATATTTGCAATCGGAGCGGTTCCTCTCAATCATATTTTATAATATTCTACCTAAAATTGTTAATAATATTTGTTGAACGTCCTAATGTTCTTGTGTTATGTAGTTTTTAATTATTGAGTTCTTTGTGCATCTCTCTTCATCTTTATGTTTGTTTATTTACTTTCTCTGTATTAATGTATTTTCTTTCTCCAGTGCTTGCTTGTAATTTATTTCTTGTCTTCACGATGTGTTTGTCCGTAATGTGATTACCAGTACCTATACTGTGCTGTGTCTGTAATTGGCCTTGAGGCTATTGACTCGTCACATAAATAATAAAGAATTGAACTGAATTATTATTATTAAGAGAAATAAACAAACTTATGATTGGTGTAAGAAACTCCTTCTCTCTCCACACTATTGTAAAAAGTATCAAAATGAAAGCTCTTTTCGTCTCTTGTTTCTCCCCCGACGTTTCGACCACAGATTCTGAAAAAGTTTTATTCGAGGTCTTGGGATCAAATCTGATGAAAATTGTAACAACATGTGCTCTTTCGGTTTTAAAGTTATCTGTTTAACGGAAACGTGACTAAATGATTATTTTCCCAGCCAAGCTTTCCCCTAACTTTATGCTGTACATGGTATATCATTATGATAGAGATTTTCACACTAAATTACGTGGTAGAGGAGTTTTAACTGTTCTTTCTGGAGCAGTTTCTGAGGTATAGCGACTGCCTACTGGCTGGACGACCGAGGGATCGGAGTTCGAGTGCCGGTAGTGTCAGAGTTTTCTCTTCTCCCTATTTTCCAGACCGGCTCAGCAGCCCACCCAGCCTCCTATCGAAATGAGTACCGGGGACCCTTTCCCCGGGGGTAGAGCAGCAGGGGCGTCAAGCTGACCACTCACCTCCAATAAGTGCCGAGGTAAAGAAAATGTGGATATATACGTGTACATCCACTCCCCAATACACCTTCATGGCCTAGTGCTTATTTAGTTAAGCACAGGAACAATTTTATCTTTTTACCTTTACGTGCATGCGTATGAAGTGCTGTAACCGATAGCAGCAACTTGCGGACTGGCAATCATTATTTCGCTCCTGATATCAAGGTTGATGTTTTACCAGGAAAACGAAAGTTTTGAACTATCAGTAGGGACTTGTAAATTTTCTTATACTATGGACAGATTGTATTAAGGATTACGGTTTGATTATGAACTTCATTTTCATCATTGTGTCAATTTTCAGATAGTCTACTGCTGCTATAGTCGTATTTTGTTTTGTTCATATCTAAACTTTAATATGTTTCTGTCGCATGGAACTCTCTTACGATTACTGGCTCCAATAAACCTGAGCGCATACAAAGAAAATTTGCAGCCCTTTGCCACATTATCATTGCCATATTATATCATTATAATAATATATTAGACGATTAAATTTGCTGACACTGCACAACAAGCATCGCCACTTTGATGTTTTATTCTTCATAATTTTGTTTAGTGGCGCAAATGTTGCCCCTCTGTCTTCGAACAGTCGGCCTTCTGGTTCCTACTCAGAATATTGGTAACTTCGCCATGTTGACTTGCTCTTCTAGCCAACGTCCTTCAGTTACATGTGTTTCCAAGGCAAGTGCAGTCTGTAAATATACAAGTATTTTTAGTAACTCTCATTTAGCTGTAAATAACCCTGACTGATTAATTTTTCTCTTTTTTTGTATTATCCCTAAATTTTCCTTTTTTCTTGTCTTGTGTCCTATGTCGTGCTGACCCTGTAATTGGCCACTCGCTGTGGTCAAATAAATGTAGAACAGTATTATTAAAGGTAAAGTTGTCCCTGTGCCTAACTAATTAAGCACTACGCCATGAAGGCGCATGGGGGAGTGGATGTACAGATCCACATTCTTTTACCTCGGCACTAG